CATGTGATGTCAAAGAAGCTTCATCTGCAGGACAAAACCAATGATATAAATCTGTTGTTCTCATACTAGGGAAGTGTACTATATAATTATTTCAAAATTGGAAATCTAGTTAGAACTGAAGGCAGCTCAATAACTGAGGGTATGTGTAAAATACTCTTAACATTTTGAATGACAAAATAATGATACCTTATTTGAAAATGACTTTGAAACCATAACATTTTTATTGCTCCACATTGATGTAGGTATTGGTCAAGGAAGAGTAACAAGTAATCTTCAAGGTGCTCCTATTGATGATGCAGTTTTTATAATGGACAAAGAGGCATTGGAAATGGTGAGAACTTAAACTAAGTGATGTATGTGATCAGAGTGGATCAATATATTTTCATGCATATATTTTATGTGTGAAATGACTATTTATATCGACATTGTTAGAATGGTCCTAAACTTGGGTAAAACAACTAAGCAAACTGTTRCAGTATTTTACAGTAAAAAAACGCTACTAAGAACCTACTACCCCTTTTTGAGGAGTAGCCTAAACAGGTTCTTATATAAACGGTAGTTGTAGTTAACCCAATTTTAGGCTTCGTAGGTTCTTAATTCTAGAGTAAAGCTAATAAAACTTAGCTTCAAAATAAGATGGTTATTTGACTATTTCCTGTTTCCTGACCCTRCCTCCATCCCAAGCACCAACAAAAAACATTCATTTTTAAAGCACTCTAGTTATAACAATAGRCCACAATAGGCTAAACAGGTCCTTGTTTATATGGGGTATAAAATCCAAATTTCTTTTTTGGTTCTTAATTTTTTAGATTCTTAGTTGCAGGTTTTTACTGTATATAAAATGATTGGATACTAAAAAACTGACCTCATTACTTTTCAAACCTTCATTAATTTCAAACCTCCTTTTTGAATTATCATAGCGTAGTTTATTTAAGTTTCATATTCAGTGAATATGTCAATTCACTGATCGAGATTGCATGATATATTCATATACCTTTATCCAAAACAGTAATCTTAGTAGTCATTATCCAACAGTGAGTATTCATTTGCCTGCTTTCTCTGCATAGTAACTGTGTTTTTTAAAGTAGCTAACCATAACAGATATCAATGACTAAGTGGGGGCGAGATCACCGCTAACCATCCTAAWTTTTTGCAGACTTTCTTCTTGCTGCATGAAGAGGGCTATTTTGTTGGTGCCTCATCAGGTCTCAATGTTGCAGCTGCAGTTAAGGTATTATTTTGTATGGTACTATTTGATCTATCTATTGACCTATAACAAGTTCCACAAAAATATCCAGTTAAGCTTAACAAGTGGATCCTCCTCTTCCTCGTTGGCTTTGGTATAAAAAGTTGACCATTGACCACCCAAAGAGGGGGGGGGAGGGAGGGGTAAAAGTACTGGAGATGTTTGTTGGAAAGTTTAAAAAAGAGCCTAAAAGATCCCAGAAGTCTTGAAAAAAGGACATGTCTGGCTGATTTTTAACCCTAAGAGATTAAATCACTTCCAAAGTTAAAATGCATTAAATATTTAATGACAAAACAAAATGTAGAGGAAAATCAGTATTAATGCACTCTTTCTCTTCTTTTCCGACACCCTAAGAGATTGTAGAAAATGTAAATTTCCAGAAACTCTAACTTGACACCCTAAAATATTCCCCACCWTGAATTTTAACCACTAAGAGATCCTACAAGCATCCCCTGGTACTTTTACCCTGAGGTCCCCYCCTCCCATCCCCCCTGGTGTTGATCCATAGATGCAAATAAATGTGACTCCTCCTTCGTATCTTATAATGATGGCTTAGGGTTGTCATATTCCCTACAAGGGACCACAAAACTCAGTTGGTGGGAATTCTTGTCATTATCGCCCTAAGCAAGACCAAAACACTGGGGAATCAAGTGTGTGAAATAAAACTGATTGACTGATATCTAAAGTAATAGCCATATGAAATGTTTCACATATGGATAAAATGTCCAAAACATCCTTAAAAATAAAGATTTGCATACAATTTGTTTTAAAATAAAATGGTACTTAAAGACTAGAATAATTCATTGTTTTATTGCTACAAGCTGGATCAGGCAAGTTACAATGAATGAATTAAGTAAGTTAAGTAAGTTAATTRCAATGTACAATTTGTTTTCTATATTTGTTTTTAGGTTGCAAAGCAGTTAGGCCCAGGACATCTGATAACCACTTGCCTGTGTGATACTGGGCAGGTACAACTAGAAAATTGTCATAACACATTTATAAATGCAAATTAGTTAATGRTCAGGGTTTTAAGGAATTGTGCATTATTATTAGTTGGGCTAGCCGCAGGCTGCTCGACTTGAGTTTTACCTTTTTGCCCACATTATGTTGYGTCTGGAACACAGGAAGAGACCCTGGGGACGAGGTTGTTCGCATTGTTCTTGACTTTTYTATGTCATCTATCACCACCATTGAAGAGAAATCTCATTGTTTTTCGAAAATGTGCTTCCTCCATGAATATCTTGCACTAAAATTTGTAGGGAATTTTATGTTTAAAAACGTAAGTTTCTAAAAGTAGCCATAGTTAGTTTTGACTTACTCAAATCGATGTTTTTATTGTATTTGACCCCCCACCCCCCAGGATCTTCCTAGGCCTCTTGACACCCCCCCCCCGGAATTCCCGATTCCCTCCGTGGGGGGGAGTATGGATATTTTCTGGAACTACACAATATGATTTTAAAAATTAAGAACCTGTTTCAATTTTAGGCTAAACAGGTCCTTGTTTATAGGGGATATAAAATCCAAATTTCTGCCTACATTATGTCGCTTCTGGAACACCGGAAGTTAAGAATTCGAGATGTCGAAACGGAAGTATTTAATGATCAACTATTGAGTTGGCTGTGTTACTACATGACCGGAAGCTCAAACGTTGTAGATGTACGAACATCGTTACTGTTTGATATATTCATTTTCAAATGTGGTATCTGTGATCTCATCTGAATGCATTTCTAATTATCAGAAACATGCGCATGTGCAGATCGCATGCACCTCAATCTCGTACCCAGCGCCACTGTCCCTCTTACTCGCAGGCTCACAGGCTCGACAAAAAACTCTTGTTTTTCGTCGAGCATGCGCAGTAAGAGGGACAAGGGCGCTGGGTACGAGATTGCATGCACCTATGAGTAGTATGCTTACAAAACTGAATGACTACCGGTAACCTTTCTAGCTTTAGATGTGTCTTGTGTGGGCAGATACCCTGGGAACCAGAGGCTGGATTTACTCGTTCTTGCAGTTTATTTACGACGCAAAGCGCAAAGCGCCGTCCTTGAGGCCGAAGGCCGAACCGGTTCGGCCTCTGGTTCCCAGGGTAGTGGGCAGAGGTTTCCAATTAGAACTAGACGCTCTTGGAGCGTGAAGTCGGGCTAGCTATTTTGGAAAATTGAGAAATTACCTGGATTTGCGAATACGCGAAGAGCGAAAAATTTTCAACACGATAAGATGAAATTCGTATCCCAAAAAAAGCTATGTAATATTCTGACAATCATAGCGGAGCACCATAGCTAAGAAAAAATGGTATATCCATCGAGTCGATTTTCGATGGACCGACACAGGGTTCCCGCGCGTACGCACGTTTCCCTGCGTCCGTGTATCACCACAGGGAAACCATACTCCAAAAGCACCAAAACATCGCATTTTTTTCTCAAACACTTATCTTCCAAATTGATATTATTAGAAAAAGTAATCATAAGAAAAAAAAATCTAGAGGAGAGCCGATCAAAGCACAGAAATATTCCCGCCTATTTTGTCATAGAGCGGATTTCGTATGACTGTGCAAAAGCACGGATCACAACACGGACACGGCACGGCACGGTCACGGAACCTCGCCTTCTAGGATTTCAAATGAAAGTAAAGATTTTCCAATGCATCACGGCTACGGCACGGTACGGACACAGCACCAACGTACCGTGTTTTTTTGCACAGTCATACGAAATCTGCTCTAACTACAGGACGCGTCGACACATCCGGGAAATCGATTTGCGAAGATGAAAAGCAATTTACTTTCGTCAAGCGTTTTGAGGCTCAGTTTTTATGAATAACAGGATGACTTTTCGCATTGACATTTGGACACCAAGAAAAAGATGATGCTATATTGAAAATACTGCAAAAATATGGGGAAAAGTAACAATCTGTGTGAATATTTTTTGCCAAGAAGTGTGGGGATTTCGCTGACCCAAGGCCATCAGCAGAACTCGATTGAGAGAGATTAAAAACATAGAGAATGAACAAAATTATGCACTAGTCAATTGAAACCCCGGACCCCCGGGGCTAGTGGGGCACTGAACTGGGATGTGACGCGTTTTTAACGTGCTTTTAACAGCAAGATT